TCACTGCGGATCAGTTGACTCCAAGAAGTCTGCTCTTCGGCCACTCCTCACCAGTTCTTTGTTTGGCGAACGGAAAGCAAACAAATGACAATTCATTACTCGTCAGCTCATCGGAAGCCGGGTTTGTATTGAGTGTCTCCAATCCATGCCTTCAATCAAATCTAATCCCAATGTATTGATAGTGAGATGTCTTTGTGGGACTTAAGCGATGGCCGATGTCTAGAGAGTGTCAAAATGCAATGCGTCCACACAAACATCCAGGTCTTGTCCACTAAAGATATTCTTAACCATTAAATTACTAAAGCATGCCATCAATAGACTTATGAATTGGCCGCTCACGAAGACGTCCGCCTGTTTTGCAACGGATATTACGCGGAGATTCTGATAATGGATGTGACAACTCTTGAGGTGCTCTACACACTCACATCCAAAGTGAATCCCGATTGGATCAGCGCTATGCATGTCTTGAGACCTGTCAAACGTCAAGGTTTGGTCTTTTCTGTCTTAAACCGTTTGTTTGCATAATTTAATGGAACAAATTGGACACGACTTCTTAGCAGAGGATGTGGTGATTGGATTGTCGATTGCAGGAGTGGTCAAAGTGTGGACATTAACGGGACATGAAGTTCGCTCAACGGAACCCATTTATGAGAACGAATCGAAACCTATTCGATGTCTGAATGCAATCCGAATGACATGTTGTATATATAATCAAAGGACAGTTCTAGTCGTTTGTACCAAATATTGGCAGGTATTGGTGTTTTGCTGCACATTGACAACCCTATGGACGACCCTATTGTATAACATATACCATCTGTGTTCAGGTGTACGACGCGGGAGACTTCTCTCTGTTATGTTCAGTGGACAGCCGTAGGGGTGAGCGCTGGTCGGGCGGCGATTTCCTCACTGCCGACCGCATAATCGTGTGGAGCGATACGGGAAAGGGATATATTTATAAACTGCCCGTCAAGTGAGATATTCTATTAATTAAATTAATTGCATTTTTTCTTCTAATTAAATTTTTTGACTAATTAATGAATGCCTGAATGAATGGTCAAACAAACTAACCTTTAATTAAATATAAAATAAATATTTTCAATCTTTTTTAATAGCAAACTAAAAGGAAAGGCCATTAGGTTTGTAGGCTTTAAGACATTTATTGTCTTGTGTTGAATGAGTTGTTGTTCCGGAAAAGCATTTCTGTAGTCATGAAAATTACTTTGAAAGCTATTCCTTTGCAAACGAAAGCATGATTTGTGTATTCAATGGTTTAATTAAAATTTTAAAAATAATTTTTTGTTTTTTAGTTGTATTCCAGACAACAAAGAATTCCATTCCCCAGAATCTGATCAGCCATTCCTTTATGCAAACGAAAGCATGATTTGTGTATTCAATGGTTTAATTAAAATTTTAAAAATAATTTTTTGTTTTTTAGTTGTATTCCAGACAACAAAGAATTCCATTCCCCAGAATCTGATCAGCCATTCCTTTACTGCATTCTTGCCATTCCTGACGACGAGGTATTCATTGTTTGAATTCAATTGAAATTTGAGAAATTAATGTTAAAACTGTATGAATTGCAGCGTCTGTTATGTCCGCCGGCAATGAATTTCTATTTGTTGAGTAAAAATATAAGCGAAATCGAAGTCAATCCTAATATTCAAAAGCTATTAATAAGAGGCGATTCGTATGGAAAAGTAGTCATTTGGTCCATACCTGACGTAACCAATAGAGACGTCACTGCCGTACGACAAGAGTCAACCGAAATACCGCCTCAAATGCCTCCCACTGTTATTCAATCACTAGAGAAGGCCTGGAAGTTAATGAAACCCTCGCCCTGTGGTATATTAGACCAATTGGTTAGTTATTATGCGATAAGCGTTTCTCGATTACAATTAACGCAAAGTATTATTTTGCAAACGAAAGCATGATTTGTGTATTCAATGGTTTAATTAAAATTTTAAAAATAATTTTTTGTTTTTTAGTTGTATTCCAGACAACAAAGAATTCCATTCCCCAGAATCTGATCAGCCATTCCTTTATTGCATTCTTGCCATTCCTGACGACGAGGTATTCATTGTTTGAATTAAATTAAAATTTTAGAAATTAATGTTAAAACTGTATGAATTGCAGCGTCTGTTATGTCCGCCGGCAATGAATTTCTATTTGTTGAGTAAAAATATAAGCGAAATCGAAATCAATCCTAATATTCAAAAGCTATTAATAAGAGGCGATTCGTATGGAAAAGTAGTCATTTGGTCCATACCTGACGTAACCAATAGAGACGTCTCTGCCGTACGACAAGAGTCAACCGAAATACCGCCTCAAATGCCTCCAACTGTTATTCAATCACTAGAGAAGGCCTGGAAGTTAATGAAACCCTCGCCCTGTGGTATATTAGACCAATTGGTTAGTTATTATGCGATAAGCGTTTCTCGATTACAATTAACGCAAAGTATTATTTGTTTAGATCCACACATCAGATGACACTCCGTATTACAAACTGACGGCTTCTGTATATTTGCCACTTCAGGGAAGACTAGTCTGCGGTCGAGAAGACGGCAGTATTATTATAGTGTCCGCGAGTCAGACAATTATGTTGCAATTCCTCGTCGGTAAGCATCTGACATACGAAGACTGGCCGCACCACCAGATCCTTGTGGGCCACTCGGGACGAGTCAATTGTCTACTATATCCGCATCACATCAACAATCGTTACGATATCGCGCATCTGGTGTCGGGAGGCGTCGACTTTTCAGTGTGTTTGTGGGATCTCTACAGCGGGACTCTTCTGCACCGATTCTCTGTCCACGCGGGAGAAATCAACCAATTGTTTGCACCGCCAAAAGAGTGCAATGTAAACCAATTATATCTTATTTCAACAATTTATAGTAATTGTTAATATATTGTTGTTGTAATGTTTAGCCGCGAGTTTTGCAATGCATCTGTTCGGTGGCCAGCGATCACTCGGTGGCCCTCATCAGCCTTAAAGAGCGCAAGTGCATAATGCTGGCCAGTCGTCATCTGTTCCCGATTCACACTATCAAATGGCGACCACTCGACGACTTTATGATTGTTGGATGCGTTGATGGATCGGTGTATGTCTGGCAGATGGAAACGGGACACTTAGATCGCGTTCTCCATGGAATTATTGCTGAAGAGATACTTAACGCTTGCGATGAAAACGTAACCACTGCTGGCGATCGTCTCACAAACCCAGCCATTCATTTATTCAGAGGTTTAAGACATCGGAATTTAGCGGCCATAAGACACGCAGCCGTTAGAGGTCTTCATAATATAAGCTCTCATTTGGTAATTATAATGAAAATTGGAGTAAATGTTGATATATTATGAATATTCATGTGATTTGATAGGAGAAACAAAAACACGATGTGATCGATATGTCGATTCGGTCGCGTTCTCATCCACTTATGATACAAGGCTTGCGGACTAACCCTAAGGATCAGGACAGCCATGTCTTGTTCTTTGATGTCGAGGCTCTCATTGGTATTATTTTGAAATGATTACCGATTGCTTGTTATGTATTTCATTTGTAAATGTATTTATCAGTACAACTAATGAGTGAAGAATATTCAACACTCACTCCAAACACACTCGAAGCCCAGGGATTGACGAACACTAATGAATATCAGAAGTATTACAATCTTTCGTGTTCTCCAGAAACACAACACAAATTGACGGGTATTTTGATTACGATTTGGTTATTATTTGGAAAGCATTGCAAATCAAACTATACTTTTGTTTTAAGGATTTTTAAATAAAGTTAAAGATTCGGCAGAAAATGCGGCCCAAAAAATACAGGCGAAGGCCGACAGCATTGGATTCAAGAATGTTTCGGGAGATATCTCTGTTGGCTTCTATAGGAAGGGATCGAGCGCTTCATCAGAGGTGACAACTCCTCCCCCTTCAGGCGCTAAACCGCCGGCGAAACTGACGATAGGAGAGACTAACCTAACGATGGATATAACTAGACTTTTGCTATCATTACTGCACGCCTGGGGACTGGACTCAGATCTGGATAAAGTCTGTGAATCCAAATTAGGTCTTCTTCGGCCTTTGAGACCCATTTGTTTTGGAATGATCTCCAGAGGCGGTCACATGTCTCTCATTTTGCCGACTTATGTGCAGAAATTGGACGCCACTTCTGCCGCACAAAACCCTAAAGAGAAGATCCCTTTAACTAAAACCGATTCAAAACACGTCAAACTTTATTTACCGCCAGAACTGAGGGCTGAAGAGGAAAAAGCGCGCCGTTTCTCATCGAGACTTCATTGGGAACTGTCGACTGCCATCACAACTAACCATCTCTTGTCAATCATATCGTTGGCCAACACTTTAATGTCAATGAGTTCCGCGACTTTCATCCCAGAGAGTGAACGCAAACGACGGTTGAATCGAAAGGCGAGTCGAACTGAGAGTAAGACTGAAAACGATGTGTCGGCCGAAGCGGAACACTTCGCTAATCAACAGCAACAGATCAAACAGGGGTGGAGTCTATTGGCAGCACTTCATTGCGTGCTTTTGCCTGATTTGGTCAAATCAGTTCATTTCCAGCGGCCATTGGTTGAGATACTGGCGCGTCGGTGGCAGGACAGGTGTCTCGAGGTGAGAGAGGCCGCACAGGCCCTGCTTTTGGCTGAACTCAGACGAGTGGGCAGTAAAGGCAGGAAACAGATTGTGGACGATTGGGGGCCGTATTTGCCCAACTATTCGGATCAAATACATACCGCACACCACACCGAACATCATTCCAAATCTCACAGTCAGCCCCACTCTATAGCGTCGAGCCCTTCGCCCAGTCCTGTGCCGTCAGATTCAGGACAAAACATTTACAAACACTCAGACCTGAGAGCACACGACGACATCTTGTCCGATGAAGACGACGATCCGGACGAACACTCGATGGGTGTCGACAATGGCTCGACCACTGGCGGCGACGATACCAACGCTTCCCGTATTTCTTCGTTTACGACTGAAGGGCGGAGAAAACAGGCGACAGCTATCGTCCTGTTGGGAGTGATTGGCTCGGAATACGGCCACGAAGTCGAACAAAGCAAACGAAAACCTAATGACGAAACGCGTCGGAAAAGTGTTATCGAAGGCTTCGGTCCCGGAAATTATACTTTGGCCAGAAATACAAGCAAAGCCTTAGCGTATCTCCTATTGAGTCCGCCGTCATCTTCACTACCACTCCACACATCCCTTCGAAGAGCTGCCATCGATTTGATCGGTCGCGGGTTCACTGTATGGGAGCCTTATTTAGACGTTTCGAAAATACTTTTGGGTTTATTAGAGTTGTGCTGTGAGTCTGAAAACCTGGTGCCGAGTATGTCCTTCGGCTTGCCTTTGACTCCTGCGGCCGATTCGTGTCGAACCGCTCGACACGCTATTTCACTCATAGCCACCGCTCGACCACCGGGTATGCAATACTCAACTCATGCATTGATTTCTCGAGTATGTCCTTCGGCTTGCCTTTGACTCCTGCGGCCGATTCGTGTCGAACCGCTCGACACGCTATTTCACTCATAGCCACCGCTCGACCACCGGGTATGCAATACTCAACTCATGCATTGATTTCCATAATTATATATCAATTGTTTCGTTCACAGCATTCATCACAACACTGGCCAAAGAGGTGGCCCGATATAACACACTTCAGCAAAACCCACAGCATTTAAACATAGCGTTACATCAATCGGTGTTATGCCGGGGAAGACCTGAGATACTCAGAAATATGGAAATACTGATCGACAAAATGCAAACCGATGTCTCGGATCTCATTATCGAAGCCATGGATATAATCATCCATTCTTTGGACCACAATATGCTTAAGACTAAAGGATTGGGAGAAGTGTTTCCGACAGTGTGTCGCTTCCAGAACGTGACGTTCTGTACGTCAACCCGTCGTATAGCAGTGGGCGCTAAAAACGGCAATTTAGCCATTTATGAGTTGAGAGCGCCCAAGTCTCAGGTCATACCGGCCCACACGGCCGCCATTACCTGCTGTTCCTTCTCACCCGACGGCAAACATCTGGTCTCCTATTCTATGGGCGAAAATAAGGTGTCGTTTTGGTTGACAGCTGTGGGACTGTTTGGTTTGGGCAACGCTCAGACCCGTTGCGTCAAGACATACAGCGCTCCGCCGATGTCCGAACAGGTGAAGGCCACCGGACCTCTCAAAATGGCACGATTTGTGTGGGTTTCCAACAAAAGCGTTATTCTGATGTTCGCCGACGGAAACGAATTTAGATTTAATGTTTAGAATTTATTATTAAATTTATAGTTTTTGTTTTTGTTGTTAGTATTACTTAATTAATTATTTATTAATTCGGTGTTTACTGAATGCAAACATTTTAGTCATTAATTTAAAAATACAAAATAATTCCTGACTTTTTTGTGATGACATCCATATCTTAGGAACGATTAGATCTATTATTTGTTAAAATTGAGTACAATTTCTACTCAAATATAAAATTTTATTTAATTTTATAATATTTATTAATTATACACAAAATTCTAATCAAGTAATCGATTGATTCATTTGTGATCTTTTCCGACGGCTTCGACGATATTATCGAAACCTTTTGATCTAATAATACATGAAATAAAGAATTAATTATTAATTAAAATATATGTTAACAGTAATTATAATGACAACGAGTCTTACCTCACAATCTCTGCTAATTCTCGTTTTATTTTGGCCACAATTTGTGGTCCCTTTTTGTGGTATACAAACACACATTAATTCAATTCAAATATAATTATTAAGAGTTGTGTTCATTACCTCATATGCGAGCGCTGTATAGATTTGAATGAGTGAAGCGCCGGCACTGATCTTGTCGTAGGCGTCGCTACCAGTGAATACACCGCCGACACCAATGATAGGAACCTTACCTCCCGTTAACTTATATACACTTTTAATCATTTCGGTTGACTTGTCCTTCAATGGAAGGCCACTAAGACCTCCGGTCTCTGCGATCAGTTTGTCGTCGCTCTTGAGAATATCAGGTCTGCCGACTGTAGTATTGGATACAATGAGTCCATCGATACCCGCTTTGCATTTGTTTGTCGCAAACTTATTGATCAAATCAATGATATCCCGCAATTGGGTGTCGTTCAGGTCGGGCGCGATCTTTATTAACAAAGGCTTACAAATCTTGTGTTCGTTTCTAACTTTGATCACTCTTTCAATCAGATCTTTGAGTTCTCTCTTATTCTGCAAATCTCTTAAATTGGATGTATTTGGAGACGAAATGTTGAGAACTAAGTAATCAATTGCTTCGCAATCGTAAAACTTAACCAATCCTTTAATATAATCGTCGGCCATATCTTGAGTCGACTTATTTTTGCCCAAATTTAAACCGATTATAATTCTCTCACTATTTTTGGCTAATTTTTGGATATTTTGTTGAAGACTCTCGTGACCGGCGCTATTGAATCCATACCTTCGGTCCCAATCAAAAGTTGTTATATTTAAACTATTATTTCTTATATTGTAAATAATTTGTTGAGTTTATACCTATTAATAATGGCTCTGTCGGCCAATAACCTAAACACTCGCGGCCTATCATTTCCCGGCTGTGGCTCTGGTGTGCACTGAAAAACATATCAAAAACTTAACTTTTGTCATCTCAACTGACCCTCAATTTGGCCGTTGAGTGTCAATGACAGGAATGTCATGCCATGAATGACTGTCACCCCATTCACACCTGTGTCACCCCATCTACTCATCAGCACTTGTAGCCTATGAGGCGCTTACATTTATAGTAAATTTACCTCAAGTACATTACATTTTCTATCAATGAATTATTCATTATAAATATAATGATAATGTTATTTATTGGTGACTAACATTGCCCCGGGATTGTGGTGAGTGCTAACTCGGATCAGTTTAAAGTTTAGTACAACATGAGAGACACTTACGGATCCAATTTCAATGAAACCAAAGCCCAATTTAGATAAGCCGGTGACCGCCTGTCCGTCTTTATCAAAACCCGCGGCCAAACCAATCGGATTCTTGAACTCCAAACCCCATAAACTTGTTTTCTTTGATTTTGGTGTCAATTAATATGTGATAACATGTACTGTATATTCATTTCATACTAGAAGTGGTATAAGAGTGGAGTCGTCTTCGAGTCGGGGAACGAATCCAAATTTGGCCGCTTTTATGGCCAGAGTGTGAGCCGTCTCGGCGTCCATCACAGTGTGAATCAATGGCATAACGGCTTCCCTATAAAACTTATCGTTGCCTTTATATAAACTGATTCCTGTTTTCAATCACTTATTGATTAATAATCAATTGATACACAAGTTTAGCAATAAATGGTAAATACCGGCAAAAGTGATGCTTCCGCCGACGGCAATGGCCAGACATGACCTCAACTTATTCTGTAAAACGTGACAAATATATGATTAAGACATAAGCAATGAATCAAATGTGACCATCAATTGGTCTTCACCTGAACTTTCATCTCTCAAACGCGAATCGCTTTGAATCTCACTTTCAATCAAACAATCAATTCATTGAAATGCAGACAACTATTGAAGCATTCAATTGAATGGATAGTATTGTGTGAATACTATGTGATAATCAATTGATTGTGTGCTAAACAAACACTAATTAATGCATTAATTGAATACAAAAGTCACTGCATTTGAAACAAATAGTTTGAAAAGTCATGTGAATAACAGCTGACTCTCATTGAGACTGTGTTTACAAACACTGAATGACTGAATGAGTGAAACAGTGTTTGAATGCAATGGCAATCAATTGACGTATTGTTTACATTGCAGTCAACTATTAGTCAATGTTTTGGTTGTGTTTTGCAATACTTTTGGCAATTAATGAATGCATTAATCGATTATCACTTCATTTACCACTCAATTAATGGACAATTTATGCCACCATTTGGTCGCAAATGTCATTGTTGTCGGTATTTATCAGCAGAAGATATAGGAATCAATTGACAAGTCGTCGACACATCCATCAGTTGAGGAAAGCGATGGTGTATTCAACGATGGAGTCAGTGTCCATCACATCCCTGTCGGCACCCATTCAGGTGACACTCTTGAGCGGTGTTGTGGCCCTGTTTTGGTTGGCCTACAAACTGGTGAAGCATTTGAGACAACGATCACTACTGATCCCACTGTGGAGTGACGGCTCCCACGCCTGTCATCGATGGAAACTCATAGCAATCATAACACACACCGCGTATTGCAATGTCTGTGAGTGTCTTATAGTGGACGGCATGTACTGCGAGTGTTGCGGCACTTGCGCTGACTTCGGCTGCCATAAGAAGGCCGACACGAGATTCCAGTGTAAGACACTCTCCCTCTCGAAGACCGAGTCCAGACTCCAGAAGAAACAGTTGTCTCACCTCTGGATTAAAGGCAATCTATCGACACATTCCGTGTGCGACGTCTGCGGCGATGAATGCGACGAAGAGTCGGCGCTCATGGACTGGAAGTGCTGTTGGTGTCAGAGGTGTGTCCACCAGAACTGTTTGACACCCGAAGCGGAGACCGGAGACTGCGATTTGGGTAAATGGCGGACATGTATTGTTCCCCCCTTTTGTATCACACATAAGAAGGTGTGGTCTAAAGGGCGGCGAAAGTTTGTGGTCGAAAGTGTGACCAAATACGAAGACGAGCCCAATTGGAAGCCATTGATTGTGATTACGAACCGAAAGAGTGGTAACAACGATGGCGACCAAATCCTGACGATCTTCCGAACGATTCTCAATCCATTACAAGTCATAGACTTAAGCGAAACTTCCATTGAATCGGGTCTTGAATTGTGTCAACAATTGACCAAAACATGTAAAGACATTAACGTCAGAATACTTGTGGCCGCCGGTGACGGCACTGTTGGATGGGTTTTGGACACCATTCAGAAACTGAAGTTGAATCCAAGCCCTTTGGTGGCCATTCTTCCATTGGGAACCGGCAACGACTTGTCCCGCGTTCTCGGTTGGGGTCAGAGCTTCTCCTTTGAGACCTCAATCGATCACATGATGAATAAGATCTTAAGCGCCAGAGCTATTGATTTGGACCGTTGGAGTGTCAAACTCTCTTCCAATAGAAGTCTTGGCATTCCTTTGCCATCGAAACAGTATTTAATGAATAACTACTTCTCTGTCGGTGTCGACGCTTTGGTTGCCCTTAACTTTCATGAGACACGAAAGTCACGGATTTATAATTATTTATTCACGTAATAATCATTTCTTACTGTATTTTAATCTATGGTAACATATATTTAATCCTAATCTCACATTCAATCGCTTACAGGAATCGGATATTCAATAAGTTCTTGTATTTAAGTTACGGAACCAAAGAGTTGTTTGAAAGAAAGTGTAAGAATCTGAACGAAAAGATCATTTTAGAAATGGATGGCAAACGCATAGATTTGCCAGAATTAGAGTCCATAATAGTGTTGAATATCCCGAGTTGGGGCGGAGGCGTCGAGATCTGGAATCTCGGCAACGGAGCCGTCAAACAGAAGATCAGCGACAAGAAGCTGGAAGTGTTGGGCGTGTACTCGACCTTTCATATCGGACAGCTTATGATCGGACTCTCGGAACCGTTACGCTTCGGTCAGGCGAAAGAGGTTAAGATCACACTTTTGGAGCGATTGCCCATTCAAGTGGACGGCGAACCCTGGCTTCAGTTCCCGACAGCCATTAGTCTGACGTGGAATTCATTCGCCAAAATGCTTACGACTAGATCTGAACACTTATGAGCCCAACGTTTTCACAATAAGGCTCGACATTCAGTCTTCAGTCTGTGATAAACTGTTATTTCTTGTATTGACACAAAATGTGAGTTCGCTTTTTGGACAAAACATTTTATGCAACTCTTATTATATTACCGACGATTTAATGCTTAAAGTTTTCCTTCAAATACATAATTCATTAAATTTAATCAATATTTAAATGTATTTTAAATGATTACATAATATATGAATATATTGGCCAAAAATCTTATAAATTTATATAATATATATTATAGTTATTATATATATTTTGAACATTTATTTCATTTTGTGCTAATGTTTTCCATGCATTTACTTCTTAATGTTTATTTACCGATGATTTTATTTTATATAATTTTATTATTCCAAACATAGTATTAAAAAACATTTATAACAATAGTTTTAACATATCTTACAATACATTTATTAAATTAATTGAAATTTTAATGTAAATTTCCAAACCATTTATCCATTAAATTGTATTAATTAATCATCATTTGTGTCGCGATTTTCCAATTCACTGAGCATTTGGTCTTTGTTTGAGATTTTGATTATTTGTGGCCCCATTCGGGTCCAAACGAAACCGCTCTCCGGTTTGGTTATAAGCGTCGGATACGGAGAGTAGCGGTCCTTATAGTAGTCGGAGGGCGCGTGACATACAAACGTCATGCACTCCAGTTTGCGCGGAGTGTCCTCTTCGGGGCCCAAGAAGTAAGTGCTGGCGTCGAACACATCCTCATCGCTGTCCTCTGACGGCAATAACCACGTAATCACTGCACTCTTCTCGCAGTACTGGTCCTGAAGAAAGCCTCGTATTTGTGCGAAATATGTGCCGCCGTTCACGTCCTCTACCGACACGATGTCTCCGATCTGATAGTACTGACCCCTGAAAAAGATGTGATTGGATGTGACGGCAGTGGCGAACGATGTCGGCCCGCGAACCACCTGTTCGTACGTTCACAACAAAATCAAATGTAACCTTCATTTGCTTCACATGTCATCACTAATCACTTACGCATCGCTTGAATATAATCCGTCGACTCTTGCCTTTAATTGTGTTTAATTTGTTGTTAAAAGTGGTCTTAACTTTGCCTCTGTTTCGGACACTCTTTCTGATGGCAACCATCGGTTGTTTGGCCGCTAATTACCCATAAAATGAAGAGTTAATTATTAGACAAAAACCAAAATGAGAGCCGAGATTACCATTAGGTTTGTCGCTCTTATTGCTGTCTGCGGTCTGACTGTCATTATCTGCTTCGGGAGTCGTGACCGCGCTTTGGCTGTCATTGGATTCAGTGATCTCTTTGTTGTTACAATCGTTGCATTTAATGCATCCGTCGCTTGTCTTCGACCACATCGTCGACTCATTAGATCCGCAAACACCGCAAACCGGTTGTAAACCCAATGGCATTGTCTTCAATGTCTTCAGCACTCAATTGAACCACAATTTAAACGTTAATTCATTTCAACACAAAAAGCATCTCAAAAAATGCATTCAAAACAATAGGCATTCAATCAATACATTAATTATGTCTTTGTTTTATAACAACTCATTTAATGTGAATTTTGCTTAAAAACAATGTTTTAATAATTTTTATTGAATTAAATTAATTGCAAACAAATTAAACATAAAATACTTACTGAAGAGTGAATTAAATTGAATGACAAATAACTAAATAATAAATCTATGACAACAAAAATGCCCACAAATTGTGGGACGTATTGAGTGTCAGAAATGGGCAAAAGTTTTGGCGCTTTTTTGACAAAAGAGAGACTGAAGTCAAGACTTGTTGTGAGAGTTAAAGGGATTTAAAGGGAAACATTATCTGCTTCGGGAGTCGTGACCGCGCTTTGGCTGTCATTGGATTCAGTGATCTCTTTGTTGTTACAATCGTTGCATTTAATGCATCCGTCGCTTGTCTTCGACCACATCGTCGACTCATTAGATCCACAGACACCGCAAACCGGTTGTAAACCCAATGGCATTGTCTTCAATGTCTTCAGCACTCAATTTAACCACAATTTAAACGTTAATTCATTTCAACTCAAAAAGGATCTCAAAAAATGCATTCAAAACAATAGGCATTCAATCAATACATTAATTATGTCTTTGTTTTATAACAACTAATTTAATGCGAATTTTGCTTAAAAACAATGTTTTAATAATTTTTATTGAATTAAATTAATTGCAAACAAATTAAACATAAAATACTTACTGAAAAGTGAATTAAATTGAATGACAAATAACTAAATAATAAATATATGACAATAAAAATGCCCACAAATTGTGGGACGTATTGAGTGTCAGAAATGGGCAAAAGTTTTGGCGCTTTTTTGACAAAAGAGAGACTGAAGTCAAGACTTGTTGTGAGAGTTAAAGGGATTTAAAGGGAAACACAATTTAGAGGAGATTTAAAGTGAGAATTGATTGTGAATTAAGTGTAAATCAAATCATTTAATCGTTTATCGAAAGCAATGGATGTTTCGGACAATCGTTTGAATCAAAGCCAACGAATTAAAGACGATTTGTCGGAAAAATGTCAAAAACTTTTCGGCGATTTTCTCAATGAATTCGTGGACAAAACGGTGGACACCGATGAACAGCATAAGTATCTGTCGGAAGCGCTGGAACTGATCAAACCGGAGAGGAATACGCTGTTCGTGTCGTTCAAGGAGTTGACAAACTGGGACCAGGAGTTGGCCGTCGATGTGACCAACAATTACTACCGCTTTTACCCCTATTTGTGTCGTTCGGTCAGCGCTTTGATTAACGACGAGAAGCATAAGTCGGCCGAAGAATTGGATGACTTGACGCTCAATGTCATCAAAAATAAGGACTTTTACGTCGGTTTCTATGACTTCGCCGACAGAACGAAGTTAAGGGAATTGAGAGCAACGAAGATCTCATCGCTGGTGAAGATTGTGGGACAAGTGGTTCGCACGCATTCAGTCCATCCGGAGCTCATTTCGGGCACATTTGAGTGCTTCGATTGCGGCACAGAAGTGGCTAACGTTGAGCAGCAGTTTAAGTACACTTTGCCCACCATTTGTCGCAACACTGTTTGCGCCAATCGATCCAAGTTTCGGCTTCTTCTTCATAAGTCGCGATTCGTTGACTTCCAAAAGGTTCGGATCCAAGAATTGCAATCAGATCTCCCGAGAGGTTGTATTCCTCGGAGTCTGGATATTGTGATCCGAGGCGGCGATCGCGTCGAATGCGTCCAACCGGGAGATAGGGCTGACTTTGTCGGCTGTCTTATTGTGGTTCCAGATGTGGCGCAACTCATTGCCGGAAGCGGTGGACTCGTGAGGACAGAGACCGGGGCTGGCGATGGAGGTCTGCGCGGACTCAAGGCGTTGGGAGTGCGCGAAATGTCCCACAAAATGGCATTTCTCGCGAGTTCTTGTATTTTGGAGGGAAATGAAGTGCCGATTCAGATGGAGGACAGGAATGCCGACACCAATACAGGCGCTAAAGACTTCTCGATGTTTAAAGAGGAAGAGATTCGAAGAATTGAGAAAATGACAAAAGACAAGAACCTCTACGAGAATATCAGCAAAAGTCTGTTTCCATCCATTTTTGGCAACGAAGACATCAAAAGAGGAGTTATTTTGCAAATGTTTGGCGGAATCCCTAAGACTACAGTAGAGGGAACTCATTTGCGGGGAGACATCAATGTGTGTGTTGTCGGCGATCCGTCCACTGCTAAGAGTCAGTTCCTGAAGATTATCGCGGATTTCGCGCCCATTCGTGCTATTTATACGAGCGGTAAGGCGTCGACCGCTTCTGGTTTGACGGCAGCGGTGGTGCGGGACGAAGACGGAGGCTTTGTCATCGAAGCCGGCGCTCTAATGCTCGCCGATCAGGGCATCTGTTGTATCGATGAGTTCGACAAAATGGATATCAGGGATCAGATCGCCATTCATGAGGCTATGGAACAGCAGACCATTAGTATCACTAAAGCCGGAGTGAAAGCCACTCTCAACGCCCGCACTTCCATCTTAGCCGCGGCCAACCCTATTGGCGGCACTTATGACAGAAGCAAATCTCTGCGAAATAATCTGTCCTTTTCTCTGCCAATTATGTCTCGCTTTGACTTATTCTTCATACTTCTCGACGAATGCAACGAAACCATTGATTACGCGATCGCCGAACGCATCATTGATATGCACTCCGGAAATGTGGACAACAGCGCCGAAGACGTGATCTATTCGTTAGACGATCTCAAGAATTACATCCGATTCGCGCGACAATTCAAACCCAAAATGACTTTAGAGTCGGAGAAATATTTGGTCGAAACGTACAAACAGTTGCGTCTCTCGGGCTGTGACAACGGCGGCGGCTTTAAGAGCAATAAGCAGTCGTGGCGTATAACTGTCCGACAACTGGAATCACTCATCCGGTTGTCCGAAGCGATGGCGCGAATGAATTGCAGTGATTTTGTCGAAACCAAACACATCAAAGAGGCGTCGCGTCTCCTCAATAAGTCGATCCTCAAAATAGATGAGCCGGACGTCAACCTCATGGACAACGACGACACCAACGAAGACGAAGACATGGAGGACGTGAGCAAAGAGCACGACTCCCAGAAGGACTCACAGACAGACACACCGATCCCCTCCTCACTCAAGATTCCATACGATGTCTACAAATCGATTACTAATATGTTTGTCATTCGTCTCCAAAGGGAAGAACTCAAGATAGAAGAGGGAGAGAGCGATGGCATCAGGCGTTCAGAACTCATCGAATGGTATCTGAATCAGTGTCAGGACATCGAAACCGAAGCCGATTTGGT